GGTTACGCGATGACTCAGTCAGAAAACCGTTACAACCACCATACTCTGGTCCATTCAGAGTTGTAAATAGAATAAATAATAATGTTTTCACTTTAGAAATTTCAGGTAAAATGTCAATGTCACTATCGAACGGCTGAAACCTGCATTCCTTCCTAAAGAACCAAATAGAGATCAAACAGATTCTACTCTAGAAGAGTTTTCCTCTTCTACTCACGAGCCACTCAGAACACTCAGAACATATACTGGTCCAAGGAAGAAGGTTCAATTCGCAACGTAGGACGTTGCTCGGGGGGGAGTACTGTGGCAATCATCGCAACTAACTTTACCGATAAAGATGGAATTTTGTTTGCCGATATTGAGTTGCGATTAGCAACAAATATTTATTGATTAATTGCCATAGAAATAGTTTATTGAATCACTATAACAACATTAGTATTTTGTTAAACATTTTTATTTGTTAATCACTCACTCTTCATCTGTACATGATTACATTAACATCAAGTTAAAATATAAAAACATTAAAATACAATTTGATCTTTTTATTATCGTATGTAGTAGTTCTCAAATTAACCGCTACAATTATCTATGACCTTGCGCCATCTTTCGGGCAGCTTACGAATTGCGGCAGTGAAGAAAGTTTCGTCTTTTGATTTAATAAAGTCGTCGACCCATTTTTGCACTTCTTCAATATTCCGGAAGCGTACCTCAGACAATGCGTTTTGCATCGACCGGAACAAGTGATAATCACTTGGCGCTATATCTGGCGAATAGGCCGGGTGCGGTAGAACATCCCAACCAAGCGTCAATAATGTTTCTTTGACCGTTTCAGCGACATGAGGCCTAGCGTTGTCAAGAAGCAATTTCACCGGACGCAATCCTTTGCCAGTATATGGACGTTTTCGACGGATTTCTTCGTTCAGTCTCAATAGTTGTCGACTATAGCGATCACCATCAACCGTTTCAGGTGATTGCAGAAGCTCATAACATAGCACACCCTGCATATTCCACCATATACAGAGCATTACCTTTTGGGTCGTGG